CACTAAACTGCCTCATGTTTGTGTGTTCATTTGACATCCTTGCTGTATGTCGGAGATATGATATTTACAACAATCTGACTGTAATCGAATGCTGTGTAGATCAGTTTCCTGATGCTCAGGTGGAACACGAGGGTCCTCGGCTAATGGAAATGTTAGAACAGGACTCTCCTGGCTCTGGCTAGATTAATAAGGTTTGTTTATGGTCAGGTTGAGCAGAGCAGGTCAGTGTGTTCCTCCATTATGCTACATGCAGGTGCTTAGGCCCAATTTTATCTTTTCATTGTGTTTCTCTCGGATAGCTTGTACAAATAATAGTGCTGCTGTTTCCACGAAAGTCAACATCAGAGAAATTTGTGGAAAATGTGACTTGAATAGTGATCTAAATGTTTAGACTGAATGGTCGTTTGTAATTCTGCTGCTGTCCAACTATCAAAAAACACAGGAAAAAATATTATAAATTTAGCATAATTGTAAAACCCATAAATTAACAAATAAAAATATATGACTTGGGCATAGGGGTAGACGATCTTCCCAAAATATCATATCATATAATCTTGTAACACAAAATCACGATCCACAAAATGCGATCTTCCCAGTTTTGAGATGTACTTTTGAGAATATCCAGACTGGAACAAGCCTATGACTTACCTAATTGCACAGTTTTGCATTAAACAATCAGTTATCAAAATGGTTAAACACCTACATCACTCTATGAAATATACTGTACACGCATTCTTATTAAAGTTATAAAGTTATTCAGTCAAGAGCATTGACTGATTTTCTGTATTTTTTTTCTTTGATTAACATTAAAGGGATAGTTCACCCAAAAATGAAAATTAGCCCATTATTTACTCACCCTTAAGCCTTCCTAGGCGTATATGACTTCCTTCTTTCAGATGAATCCAATCGGAGTTATATTAAAAATTGACTTTGATCTTCCAAGCTGTTTAATGACAGTCAGCGGGTGTTGCAGTGCTTCAGTCCAAAAGAAGTGAAATAAAGCGCTTGCATCCATAATAAAAAGTGCCTCACACGGCTCCGGTGGGAGAACAAAGGCCTCCTGTAGCGAATCGATGCGTTTCTGTAAGAAAAATATTCAAAACGTAATAATCACTTTAATCTAGCTTGCACCAACAGTTGTACACTGAAGCAGCTCCGGGAAGATGACGTAAGATGTCGGCGTTGCGCATGCGCCACTGAGTCTCGTAAAAAAACAACGTTTGTTTACAGGAGCAAAGGAAGCAAAGTGTCCTTACTTAAGCAAAGGAAAACCAGTCTCCTCTTGGCTTATCCTCGTTTTGTACTTCTAATTCGTGACTGCGCTTCCGCGTTCTTCACTTCTATGCGGTGCATGCGCAACGCCGACGTCCTACGTCATCCTCCCGGAGCTGCTTCCGTGTACAACAGTGAGCGCAAGCTAGATTAAATTAATTATTATGTTTTAAATGTTTATTTTTCTTACAAAAACACATCGATTCACTACAGGAGGCCTTTGTTCACCCCCCGGAGCCATGTGAGGGAGTTTTTATTATGGATGGATGCGCTGTATTTCACTTCTTTTGGACTGAAGCACTGCAACACTGCCATTATGACTGCCATTAAACAGCTTGGAAGATCAAAGACAATTTTTTATTTAACTCCGACTGGATTCGTCTGAAAGAAGAAAGTCATATACACCTAGGATTCCTTGAGGGTGAGTAATTAATGGGCTAGTTTTCATTTTTGGGTGAACTAACCCTTTAATGACACAGACAGCAGTAGGTTTATTAGGCTGCTGTCCCTTTAACACAGAATGCATGGATCTAATATACGCATCCGATTTCTTTCTCAATTGTTTGTTCATTTAAGACATAACTGACTGTCTTTATGTAAATACTCATGAGAACGGACATTTTGACATTTTTTGTGTATTTTTGACCAGTTATGTGTAGGGCTGGGTATGGATTCAGATGTCCCGATTCGATTCCGATACGCAAGTTCTCGATTTGATTCGATTCTCGATTTTTTTTTATTACATTCAGTGAATATAGTTTTAATACAAATGCTATTGATATTTCTAAAAAATGAACAGTAAACATCAGTTTACAAATGGTGAATTAATAAAAAGAAATTAAGCCACATGCCTGTATTTTAAACCTATTCTTTTTTTTTGTATAGGGTCCTTTTTTAAACAATAATAGGGCCCTATAAAATGTTCATAATTGTTTTGGTAATCAGATGAAGGCATAAAACATTAATTTAATTTATCCTAATCAAATGAAAATGAAACCCTTTTTTTCTGGTAAACAAAGTGCTGCACAACAGAGGTTTACTGTTAAAATTAAAAAGAAAACAGATGTGATTATTCCTTTAAAAATAAAGATTTATTAATATTTATTAGCAGTAGTAGCATTGAGTCTTAAGACTGCTAAATAGTAATATATTCTGACAGTTTCTTAACGTTAAACTAAACTTTTATTTTGACTGGTTGCCGTGAAGAACTTGCAGCTGCTGTATGTGATATGACGCTGGAGATTTCTCAAATGAAACGGTAAATGCTAATGAAGTGACTCTCAGAGCAGCTGGAGATGACGTTCGTGTTCATATCATCATATAGTGAGACGGCAGAAGCTGAAAACACGCGAGCGTCATCAAAGCTTTAGTATGTGTGTAGTAAACAAAAAAGTGCGCCGCGCCATCCGCCATTCATTCATTGCGGAAATCATGGCGCCTTATGCGTGATATCAGATGCTTCCGCAGATTTATAGTATTACTATAGCATTTCACCTGAGTATTGCGAATTGCGCGTATGGCCATCTAGTGGAGAAGACTAATGATAAGATTCACGTTAATCAGATCTTGTTTTAAATGTGTGCTGAAATAAATACTAGAAAAGATCGATTCGCGGCTTTTGAGAATCGATATCGAATCGACGTCATTAAAAAAAAAACGATTAATCGGAAAATCTTTTTTTTTTTGCCCAGCCCTAGTTATGTGTGCACCTGAAGCCCCAAGTATACTTTGCTTGTTGGTGTTTAGCTCCGTGTCGGAGTGCGCGCACAGAACCCGCCTGAGGAACAGTCGCTTTCACAGTTTAATGCACTTTTAATAACTGTTTTTAAAATAAACCATGTCCCGCAGTAGACTGCCTTTTACGACAGTCACATTACTAGGGCTGGGTATCGAGTTCGATACTTTTTAGGCACCATAAAATTGGTATCGAAAAAAGTATCGTTCAGGAACCGGTATCGAAGTCAAGGTATCGGTATCGATATCGAAAATTTTTGAACGATACCCAGCCCTACACATTACACGATTGGACTGATTTGGGTGTTAAGCTTTTAAGGACAGGAGAATGAACACCGCTTTAAATGAAAGGAAACGGTATGCAGCAGAATGACGAAACAAACTAAAATTTAATTCATCACACTTCTACTGTTAGCCCACATTGAATTGTTTTTCAAATCTGTGCGGCATGTAAGAATTTTATTCCTAAAGTAATTAATTCCTATATAATCTAGCATCTATCTGTCTGTCTGTCTATCTATCTTGTATTTTATTTTATTTTATTTATTTTTTTGCCCACAGAACAGTATAATTACGGTATACACAAGCAGTAATTAACTTGACCATGCCAGCCAGACCTTGATCCACAGTCTGTAGTTGTAGTGCAGGGGACTTTTACCTTTTACCTGTGACTGACGGATCTTGTCTGGAAAGGTGGAATTAGAAACCTTTACACTAAAGAGAGGGAAGAGGACGAAAAACAAATACAAGCCCACACGCATATTCCTATTCTTCATGGAGGACTGTTATTTTCTCTGCTGCTTTGCCCTTTAACCATGAGCGTAGGAACTACACCTGCACAGCAGGACGGAGGTCTGTTTACTTGTGTCCTTTTGCGTTTGCGTGTGTGTTTGCTGTCCTTTGCATCATCCAGCTCTAACAAGCTCTGTGAGTCTTTTCTGAAAGTGAAAGTGCCAGATAACCAAAGGAATGCATGTAATAACTGATCTGTAACAGGCTTTGCTGAGTTGCAGTTTTTCCTGCACAAACACTAAAACTAGACTGTAGCGTTTTATCAACTGCTATGCAGACACATTCAGCTCAGTGTGTTTCTTTACCCAGCTAAGGAAATGTCAGGAATTGTTTGCATTGACGTACTGCATATGCTTATCAATGTTGGGGCAAAAACTAAAACTCTTTTTTTTAATGTGAAAGTGAACTGCACACAGCAGTAAATATGACCCAAAATGACAGTTTTTCTTAGCTGCTTTGTGTTTGAATGTCAGTCAAACATTTGAATTAATTATCATTGTCATTTACTCACACTGATCAATGTGTCTAAAATAAAGAAAATGAAAAATTTAGTTTAAGTTTCTTAGAAATACAACCTTTGTATTAATGTTGGTTCAATATTGTTTTGAAAATAATCACATTTTAAGTGATCACATGAAGGTTACACCACATGACATTTTTTCAAGTAAAAACCGATAACATTTTCCTTTGAATACATGAGTGTACACATCTTATTAATTGAAAAACTTTCTTAAATATTGTTTTTTAAGTGAAAATTATTTTTCATTTATAGTTGCACCACTTGATTTCACCAATAGAGTGTTTTTAATGCTGCTTTGCTTATAATAACAATAATAATCATAATCATAATAATAATGAAATATTATGCCAAATTTCTTTTGAGTTGGATCTTATCAATGAAGCAGTTGGTCCAATTCAACAAGCTTGTCTGAATTATTCGGTCACAAATTAATGATCCATTAAATTCTCAGTGTATATAAAAAAAAAACAAGTACTGTTTCACTCCAAATTGCGGCGTATTACGAAAGTAAAATAGGTTACATGATTTGAAGAGCACTGTACCTCGGATCACGTGTAGCACTTTGAAGCTGCTTTGAACCAATTTGTATTGTATAAAGAGCTATAGAAACAAAGGTGGCTTGACTTGACATGGTGTGTGCTTGACAATGTTATATTTATTGTTCATAATGGTTCCTCTGCAGGTCCTGCTCAGGTTCCCATGATGTCCCCAAATGGTTCAGTGCCTCAAATCTATGTGCCTCCTGGATATGTTCAACAGGTGAGTCATTACGGAATTAATTTCATATTATTTTTATAGGAGTTGTTATTTTGGTTTGGTCAAAAAGATGCAATTTTCGTTCTCATTTACGTCTCTATTGCCCTTTTCCAATCTTGTTGAGCGTCCTACCTAACAGCATTTTCAGGCATCATAGGCACTGTAAAAGTGAAGACTGCTCCCTTAGGACACATTCTTGAGTATAAAAGAGCTAGATAGAGTGCACTGGAATAGATAAAAAAAATTATAAATTCCAAAATGCTGTACATTTCAACAAGATATCAAAATCTTTACCTCAAATCAGGCTACAAGTACGGTATGTGCAGTATGCCCTGTCTAATTTTCTCTCCATCTTTCCATATAGATCATTGAGGAGAACGGAGTGAGGCGGGTGTTGGTCTTACCTCAGACGGAGTTTCATCCGGGAGCTCGCTTTTTTGCGTGTAAATAGCCCCATAGGGATCTGTTTTTTTTGTTTGTTTTTTTTTCCGATTCAAAAGCATCATATTGCACCGAATTTTCATGTTCAGTGTGAAAAAGCCTTTAGACTACTATTGTTTTTGCTTAATTATAGTAGCTACAGACCCTTATTCCCTAAATCAACTTTTTGCATTTCTAGGATAAATATATACAGTGGTGTGAAAAAGTGTTGGCCCCCGTCCTGATTTCTTATTTTTTTGCATGTTTGTCACACTTTAATGATCCTATTGAGATGCTGTGGCATGACCTTAAAAAGGCGGTTCATGCTCGAAAACTCTCCAATGTGGCTGAATTACAACAATTCTGCATAGATGAGTGGACCAAAATTCCTCCACAGCGCTGTAACAGACTCATTGCAAGTTATCGCAAACGCTTGATTGCTGTTGTTGCTGCTAAGGGTGGCCCAACCATTTATTAGGTTTAGGGGGCAAACACTTTTTTCACACAGGGCCATGTAGTTTTGGGTTTTGTTTTCCCTTAATAATAAAAACCTTCATTTAAAAACTGCATGTTGTGTTCACTTGTGTTATCTTTGACTAATATTTAAATTTGTTTGATGATCTGAAACATTAAAGTGTGACAAACATGCAAAAAAATAAGAAATCAGGAAGGGGGCCAACACTTTTTCACACCACTGTATATATTTATTAAGAATTTATACGTTTCAGATCATGGACACTTCGCTGCATGGCACATTATCACCTGTGCACTATTTTTCAATAATTCAATGATCCGTTGCACATTATTCCTTACATGTCTCTCTGTTTTCCGATTTCCTCAGATACTCACCCTCCACATGGACGTGCGGCATTTGCTCACAGAGATGAAAGGGCTAGCAAAACCTACGAGCGGCTGCAGAAGAAACTGAAGGAGAGGCACGGGGTGGGCGGAGGGGGAGGTGGAGGCCTGGCCCTCTCCAAAGACAGTCCCCCTCCGTCCCCGCAGAAGAGCCGTGGGACACCGCCGTCAGGAGGAGATCTCCAGAACGGGCTGGGGGGTAAGGGTGCAGACGAGCAAGCACAGCCCAGCACTGCAGTCACCGCCCTGGGCAAAAGTCCAGGCAGAGGGAAGGACACGGAATCTGGAGGTAGGATATACATTAGGTTCCTAGAACCATTAGAGTAAAGCAGTAAGCCACAGGATGCTGTGTGTTACAGTGTTTTTACCACAGTTAAAGGGACAGCTCACACATCCAGGAGAAAAGAAACTTGTCAATGCTGCCCCGCAACTTTTATTAATAAGTTTAAATATCGAATCGCTACATTATATTTTCCATTATATTTATTTTTTAAATTAGATTTTAACGAGAGGATAAAATCGCCGTTTTTGAAGTAAACTCACTCAATCTTCAAAATATCTTCTTTTATGTTCAACATAAGAAAGCAACTCATACAGGTTTGGAACGACATGAGGGTGAGTAAATAATGACAGAATTTTCATTTTAGGGTGAACTATCCCTTTAAGAGGCGTGAGGCTCGAAATGAAGCAGAGTGCCTAAAACCTATGTGAAAATGGAACACGCTGCTTCTTGTGTCTTACCAGTGGTAAAGAAATGATTACATTTATTTATGGTGATCTAATAAGAGTTTTGTTTTGTGCTTTTTGTCTTTTACTTTTATTTTTTTACTTGGTTTATTTTACCTTTTTGTTACAAATGATATTATCAGTATAAGAATTTAAGTGAAAACCATGACATAATGAAAGTTATCACTGTCCACCTATTTGTTTACATTTCATTAATGAATAATACTGATCAAATACTACTGCTTTCTTTTACTTTACATTTGTTTAAATCCAAAGCTTCATGTATTTTAAGGTTTACATGAAGAAAATCATAGTTTTTCAGTATTGTCTCAGCCCTTGGAACCCCACTGCAGTTTATTAGACTGATCGTGAGGTATTATGTATAGATATATAGTCTTGTTGCATTAATAGGTTTGCGTAAATCAGCTATTTAGGCCCGAAAAATCTTTGTTTGAAGGGCTATCTGGCCCTTCCCCTTACCCCTAGCCCTCCAACCAAAAGAGAATCTAGAGACCCCTACCCCTTCACGTGAACGCGCGAAACGGGAAAGGGGAAGGGCTAAGGGGTAGAATTGGGATTGGGCCTTAGTATCAACTTTGGCTCATCCAATCACATTTTAGCACGAACATAGTTTTACAAATTAGACTTTAATGATAATCTCCTACTACATCTAATTAAAAGATAAACTTGCTTAAAACCGACCAGGGAATTAAATATTTACTATTTATCTCTCCTTCAATTAATAACCAACCAGAGTTACTCATGCATGCGATCACTGATGGTGATATATTAGGAACTAGCTATTAGAATTAACAGACATCGATGTCCCATTAAGTCTTCTTTTTCCTAGGATGATTATATCTCAGGTTCCAGGTAGAAGCGGGGCTCCAGGGATGGGCCCGTTGTAAACAGGCCCGAGCAGCTCGTCTCTGGTCTCATTAACTCCTTCAGCTTTAGGCTGCTGCAGATAACATTAGCTGTAATTACCCCTGCACTGACTCAGTCATTTATCAGTGCTAACTAACTCCAGCCTGGAGGAACTCAGCTGCAGTTACTGTATGCCAGCTAAACTTGGTGTATCTATTAATCCATTCATGGAAATTAAATGCCTTTTGTGTGATTAAATAGGCGAGACTGAGCATGAAACTTTGTCCTCTTTTTGAAACAGTTGATAAGGGAGTAGTCTTATCTAGATACTGTTTTTTTTTGTTGTTGTTGTGTTTTTTTTAAATGTATGTAGAACTGGATGAAGAAGCAAAGGCTCTTCAGGAACGACTAAACTCCATCTGCAAGCCAGTGGTAAGGGGATGATTTTATTTTAATGTTGATTTGTTAATATTTATGTGCATATTTTGATTTTCATTTAATGTTAACCCATAGTTTTCTTAAGCATTTTTAGCAGTTGCCTGGTATTTTAATATATATAAACACACTAAATTAATACTTTTATTCAGCAAGGAACGGTTAAAATGATTAAAAGTGACAGTAAAGACATGTATACTATCAATATTTCTCTTTCAAACTAATGCTTTGTTTTACTTTCTATTCACTAAAGGTTAAAGGATCGTAAAAAATGTTATGGTTTCCACAAAAATATTAAAAACACGCTTGTTTTCAACTGTCTTGAGAATAATAAATGTTTCTTGAGCAGCAAATCAGCATATTAGAATGATATCTGAAGAATCATGTGGTGGCTGCTGAAAATTCAGCTTTGCATCACATGAATAAATTTCAACTAGAAATGCTTTATTTACTCTACAGTTTATTCTACAACTAAATATTAATACAGGGTAAGTTATTTTAAATAAACATATTTTAATAAAATTGTATGTTTAGAAAAAAACATTGATAAGCAGGCGAACCACAGAAGATTGGCAGATTTATCCAGAGATGAAGCAGACCAAATGTTACCTTTCAAGCCTGATGAAGTTTAAATATATTTTTCTGCTTGCTTAGAATCTAGCCATGCCTTTAAATAATTTAAAAATAGATAATGGCTAGTTGTAGTGCTGGGCGGTATACCTGTTCATACCGAATACCGGTGTTTATTTTTGTTATGATATGAATTTTTAAAATACCGCAATACGTCGCTTAAACAACATTCGGAACTCGACACTGTTTGAAAGGGGTCCCTTTTCACTGTTGCACTGTGGTGAGGGAACAGCTGTATGTGTTACTAAGCGTGAAAGTTCCGAAACTGAAGCTGTAGAACTAATAGAACGTGATGACACAGAAGAACTCATCCACAATATCCACATTGACTGCCACAAATATCCACCGCCCGCTGCCATCAGCTCCCGCGTCTCACACACACGAGCGTGACTTTAGCACTAGATTTAGCAACTTTCAGACCCTTTTAGCGGCTTTTTTCCATAGAATATTCATACTGACAACCCTAGCGACTTTTTTGGATAAACCTTAGCTATGGTTCAGTTGGAAGATTTCGCCAGTGCTGTCCCGCGAACGCGAGGTCTGACTTTCCCGGAGAAGTGTCACCTCTCTCTGCGTGTGTTCTGTGCAGTGAGCGGCAGAGAAGCAGCGCATTCAGTTGGCCGCACCGCAGCTGACTCGTCAATAAATGAGTACAAAACAGCGTTTCCTAGCACCTGTTGCTTACTGATTGTTTGGAATTATAAATATGAGCGTAGGTCGTCTGTTAATATTACATGCACTTTTTTTTGTTTTGTCTGTTTGTTACTCAGACGCAGGCAGTGTGCTGCATGAGACAAAAATGTAATATAGCCAAAACAACCGCATAGCCGCCGCTCTTTAGTGTAGATGCATGTTGATTTTATCAGACGATGCCGCGATTATAAATGAGCGTGACTCCTGGTTAACATGTATTAAAAGGGGTCGTGTTTAGTCACTATTTAGTGTGGTATTTTTTGACAATATTCACTCATCATGACAGTAAAATAGGGCATTCTAAGTCAATATACTGCAGTATTTCCTCTCTCAATCAGTAGAAAATATGGTTAGCACCCGGTCATGCATGAAAAAAAATACCGTCATGTACCGTGAAACGGTATAATTTTGAAAAATACCGTGATATACATTTTTGGTCATACCGCCCAGCACTAGCTAGTTGCTTGGCTTGAGAAGTCTGTGTTGGGAAAGCAAAATAAAACGTTGTTGGGTACACTTATTTTACCTAATATTTATTCAAAATCCCTTCGCCAAAATATGTTTGAAAATGGATCCATTGATGTGGCTTGACATTTTGAAAGGGTGGACAATCTCATGCTGGCCAAATACCAGTCTATTAATCAGCCTGCCTGCTCAATACATTAGTCTATCGCTGGTATAATCATATTGATATTGCATACTGTTCTTCTTAGTGAGCTATTTGAAAGGCCTTTATGCAACATTTGACAGTCCTCTCACTGAGAAACCACCTTCTGAAGAACTGTACGGCTGCTTGCTGCGTCAACGGTTTTCTTAATGACAGTCATTTCCACGGTCTCAAAAACTCTACATCCATGCATGATTATAGTCCCCACAAGAAGACAGTAATGGCTCTCCGTAATGGGTCATTAATGCTGTGTTGGATTTGATTCATAGAGGAAGCTAAATGGCTGTCTTGTCTGGTGTGCTGGGATCTGGTTTATTGGTATTTTCATGAAACGGTGAGTTTAGCTTTGGCGAAACAGCCCTGTCCAATTCACTATAATAGTGATTACCGATCCTTTGTCATTAGACATTAGGGATGTAATGATTAACCACGAGCCGGTTGAAAATCGATTCAAATATGTGACGATTCAAATCGGTTGAGATGCTAAACAAATCGCGATTCATTTAGGGGTAGGAGTTTATATGAATGCATGTCTGAGGGGAACTTACTGTCTTTAGAAAAGTTTAGATGGTATTATTTTCTTTTCCTCTTGCCTCTGTATAACGCATATTAAAGATCTTAAGCGCAGCGCTGCTTTGTTTACAGCGGAAACCAAGGAAACGCTTTAAGCGCCACCTGCTGGCAGAGAGTGAATCTGCATCTCATTCAGCTCGTCTGCTGTTTCATGCAGATATTTTTATGTATAGTTTCACAAAACTGAAGTCAAACCATTCTGTTTTTGCTTCAAATTTCGAAATTATACAATCTAATTTAGATGAAAAACTGCTCATGTTGCATGTATGTAGCATCTTTGTTTGGATCATGTATGTAGCATCTTTTATTTGTGTTACCTATGTATTTGATTTGGGGCTTGTTTTAAAATTGCAATTTAGTTTTGTTATTTACATTTGCATTATATTTCAATTTTGTCATTTAGCAGACGCTTTTGTCCAAAGCGACGTACAAATGAGGACAATAGAACCAATCAAAACCAACAAAAGAGCAATAATATTCAAGTGCTATTAGTATATTATTATAGTTATATTTCAATTTCACAAAGAAATGTGCAGCATTTTGTCCAAGCAATAGTAAAAGGACATATTTAATTTATAATTTGTCTTAAATCTCATTTTGTAAAAAAAAAAAAAAAAATCGTGAATCGAATCGTGAGTTGAGTGAATCGTTACATTCCTATTAGACATTCAAACCTTTTTTGAACATTATGTCCGGAACATTTTTTTTAATCTTAGTAGGCCATGAGATATAAATAAAAAATAGAGGCACTACAAGTAATTTTTAAAAAGGCGATTAAGCATGCCATTCAAAATACTATTCACAAAATATAGTACAGTATGCAAGCTCTTTACCACCGTTTACATGCAAGTGATGTATAGAAAAGAGAGTTATTGTATTTCATTGTTTTCTTAGAAAATTTAAGGTCATGTCCCAAACATTTCTTAATTTTTTTAATTGGAATAAAAAAGAAATAAAAGAAATATTTTGAAGAGGAAATTACATCTGATAGATTTAGGTATTTTAAAAAAATGTGTATAAAAAATGTAATTATAATTTTTTAAAGAAAAAAAAAATAGAAAAACAATTTGGCAGACATTGTAAAATTAAAAGTTTTGTTTCAATAGCGCAAAGCTTTGTCAAGACTTCATCTTTTATTCAATTCTGGTTGGGAGAAACAATGGCAAAAACCAAACATCTAGCCAATAACTTTTCTGAGGTTTGGTCTGAAGATTGTGAGACAAATTTGGTGAAGATGGAATAAAATTAGTTGGAGAAAAAGTGTAGCATGCATTATTTGAGTATCGTTCTACATTTTCTTAACTCTATGAATAATGAATAAATTAAGGCCACTACAAATCAATTTAAAAGGTCTACAAGAGTTACTTTTGCATAATGACCCATTTTCCTGAATTTTTGATGCAAGTATTAAGCAAATGCAGTGCATGTTAATTTTCACAAAGTATGCTGTCCTTCCTTGCTGCTCATAAAACATTATCTACTATATTTATTGTCACATATTTTGTCTAATCAGAATGATGAGTCAAAGATATTGGTCAGATTTATGTAGATCAGTTGCATCAGTAACTGAAAAATTATTTCCACAACTCAAGCAGTGAGAAATGTTGTAGCAAAAAGTGCAGAGGAGAGAATCATGCCCCGCAAGGCACAGATAAAATAGGTTCTTTTTTAAGCCCGTTTTGGCTTAGTAATCTGCATTAACTTGAGCTATTCTTGTTTGAGAACCCGAAAGGTACATAGTCATGCATCCATAACTAAAGGAGACGCTTGTTTCTCAACTGGAATAAAGCTAAAAAATATTCCTTCTTGCATAACAGGAGTTCTCTTTTGTTCCGGAGGGGAAGTGCCGCATGTCATTAAAATAAACTAAAGTGACTCTTTCCAGGCGAAACAAGCAGACGTTTGTATTTCCCACATAAACATGTGCATGTAGTTAAATATATAGCCGATTAGCCCCAGGGAACAATTAACCTCTGAAAGTAGTTGAACACAACACAATGGGTTTCACTAAGTCAGAAAAATTGAGTTTGAATTAGTCATGCATCTTGTTTTCACTCATTTAAAACTTTTCCTTTTCGTCTGTATATACAGTCCTTTTTCTGTCCTTGTGCATCACATTCACTCAGTTTGCAAACACAGATTCTCAATCTGTTTAGGGGACCTAAAATTAAAAGGCCTTCTTTGAGACAGACTATTTGCACAGACAACCCCCTGTCAAGTCAATTATGAAAATAATTGTTTTGTAATTGTAGTTGTGCTTTTCCTTATTGTGAAATTTACTTAACAAGACCAGAAACACAATCTATGCATGTTTGCAGACATAAACACAGAGAATGCTTGATGTTTCCAAGGTAGATCGTGACTTCCATCTTTCCCATCAGCTCTGTTTAATTTTTCTTGGGCGAAAACCAAAAATCCAGTGAATAACTTTTGTGAGAGTTGGTCTAAATATTATGAGGCACATCTGTTGAACAAAAAATGCTTGTGGAAAAAGAGATATTCCAAGTTAATAAATTAATACCACTACAAATCAAATTGAACAAAAGTTAGTTTTGCACAATTACCAAGACTTCACCCAGAAACCAAATCTATGCAAATTTGTAGACACACCTGTTGAGAATTCTACCGATATTTGCATTAAAATTTGTGTACATGTTGTCTTAAAATTAAAGAAAAAGTTGATAAAAATTTAATAAATTAATCTGTCACTTCTCGAATGCAACAACTTGTGGCATTTGTGCATACAAATTAGGGCTGGGCGATATGACGATATTATCGTATATCGACGATGTCTCGTAAGTATCGCGATGTCGATATCAACAGTCAGGTAACAGACGATTATCGACATTACGCGAACACTGGACTGAGCTCTCTTTCTCGCGTTCTTACACATTCGAATGGACAAATACACACAAAATTATATCAAATATCCCATAAATACAATCGGTTACTTCTTAAGTGAACGTAAAGAGTTGAGAAAGAAAACAAGGGTGTATTGGATCCGTGCATTGACAGCAGCCGCTGCCGCCAGTCATTATAATGTTAATCAAAGAACAAAAGAAAAGAAAATCCCTCACTGATCTTGACTGAATCACTTTTGTAACCTCAGTTTATATTTTATTTGCCTGTTGTTCGGCGCTGACTACTGTAATGGCAACGTGCATCTGTGTATGCGATTATTTTGGAGATGCGTTCCAATATAATTTATCCTTATTTAGGGTATAGGCCTATTCTATTTTGATCTGCAGTTTAATAAAAGTTAAACAGAAAAAAGACAAAGTAGCACTGCATGTGTTTCTGAATATGTATTTAAACAGACTGTATAATGATGAAAACCCACAAACTTGACAGGTATAATTAAAATACGCAAATTCCTTCAGTGCACATTTCAGTGCAATATTTTTAAAGATTTTTTAAACCGTGTATACAATATAATTGTTTAATTAAGCTGAGATATAGCACTATAAATTCTTAATTCATTTGCAACAAAACTTTATAGAATGAAGATGGATGAAGACATTAGTAGGCTTCTCAGCTCGCCCCTCAACATGCACGCGTTCGGAGTTTCGGCAGCCCAACACTGAAAATTATATTGTGGCCATTGTATTTTGATTAATAAAATAAAAATGACAAAATAAAAATTAAATTTAAATTTTAAATTTGCTTCTAAATAAATAAAGCAGTTATTTTTATTTAGCTAAAAACGGGCCGAAAGAGACCTCCGAACTAGTAGGCTACCAGAAAGGAGAAGAAAAAAAAAATCCTTAACGTTTTTGCTCAGAATTCGTTTTTAATCCCTGCATGATTTTAGTCATTCATGATAAATATCAAATATGTTATAGCTTGACTACAAGTTTAAAAACAACGCTGCAATTGTTATAATTAAGGAAATTAAACTTCATGAAATGTGTCTACACATGCGATAATGCCAAAAAGAAAGAGAAACATCGGAAAATAGACATATTTTATTCAAGACATTATTATATGACTTCAACATGCATTTATCATTCTTGCAATCACCGCCAGAATGTCCAACTTCACCATGATGAACTTAAAATTGGGTTCTATTATTTTTCCTCAACAGTTCTCCTCACAAAACGGAATTCATTTCAAACACAAATTTGATAAGAACAGAGTGGAAATTATTAGCACCACCAAAATACCAGCAAAGCTAATGTTTTGTTAGTTTAAGCACAAACTAAGAAAAGTAAAACCAAACTTTGTGGCAATAATTAAGACTAAACTGAACATCGTGTGTGTTTATGGTGCGTGTCGGCAATGTTGTCTCGGCGGGGCGTGGTGGAGGTGGGGCTTAGGTAGACGATATTATCGGATATCGCGATATTTTTAAAGGCGATTATCGATAAGATATTTTTGACATATTGCCCAGCCCTAATACAAATTAGCCTAAAGTAGGTTTCAGGCAATGTTTAGCAATGCACAATAAATAATAGTACTATGTTGTTGTTGTTTTATGATATTAAAAAAAAAATATATATATATATATATATATAAACTTTGTAAATATATTCAGCTGTTTTTGTTTGTTTGCTTTTTCAGTTTTGAAAGTAGTTGGATTCAACAATTTACATGACATTTTTCTAATCAATGGATAATTTATGATCTGTGCCACAACCCCAATTGAAAGGTTTTCAAATGTGCTAATCTGCTGAATTATATATATATATATATGTATTTTGCTGCATGTAAAATCTTTGTATCATCATGTGTCATCAGATGACAGACATCCAGGCCAGAGGGGCCAGTTTGAGTTGGGTGGCCCCATCACAGCCAGAAGGTGACGATGAGCCCAAAGAGGGAGAAGAAGGCCCTGCGGAGCCCAGCTTCACGTATGAGGTCTCAGTCTCGTACAGTGGCAAGGATGGGAAGTACAAGAGCGCCTACAGGTGAGATGCTCTGTGTCACGCTGCGGAGGAGTTCTGGGCAGGATGTGGAGAAGGTGTGGGTGCAGTTGAGGAACTCGCTGTTGTTTTTTGTGGTTTGCTGTGGGTTTTCTGAAATCAGTGATAGCTAAAGGTCAACAGAAGTTCACCTGACATATGCAGCTCTTTTAAGATCACAACGATAGATGAATCCTGAAGAGTTGTTTTAATTGTTTACATTCTTCAAAAATATTATTAATATTTTCTTACTTGTGTCTTCTGCTTGTGTCAGTGGTGTGGAACTAAGTGCAACCTTACAAGACTTAAGACCAGCAACAGACTACCATGTCAGGTTTGTGTCAGTTTTGATTTTTTAAATGCACAAGACATTATAAGAATTGGTTTTACACATTCTAGTATTTACAGCTCAGTCAAGAATATGACTTCTTTATAAATAAAATTCTTTATAAATATTTAGTTATATTGATAGGCTTGCCGCAGTAATCATTGTTAGCAGCTGTTTAGCAATATGTCTATGTTTAAAGGCACAATATGTAAGTTTTCGCCACTAGAGGTCGCATTTTCAAAACAATAACAAAGGCGAAGCTTGATGACGCTATGAAGGAGAGTGGAACGATAGAAGATGTCGTTTCACCATCCAGAGATGTCCGAATCATGTTCACGGATGTAATGAATAATTTTTTTTTATTACCTGTACCTTCCAAAGTCTTCCAAACAGCGAATAAATTATATAGAGAAAGCGAGCAAAGAACATTTAACGTTACATTGTCAAAGAACAGTATGCCTGACTTCAGTCTAGCGCGAGTTTAAGCACTCTCAAAAAAAATTCCCCTTATTATCAGTAAACAGTAAAGCTGTCTATACACTTTTTGATGAATGAATCTCCTACTTACATCATACGTACATCTGCACTTTGTTGTTTATGATGAGAGAATACACTCAG